GGGGGGGTGTCAGGGTGGGGAGGGGGGACACAAACGACCTGCTTGCCCCCCCCTCCCCGCTCACCGTCTGCGCGCAGATATCCACCATGAAGGAGTTGATGTCGTGTTGGGTCTTGGGAAGCTCGTTGAGGAAGGCCACCACGTTAAGCCGCGTGTGTTTGAGCAGTTTGAAGCGCATGGCTGGGGAGGGAGAAGAACGCTGAGCCTCCCCCGAAGCAGCCCCCAGCAAGGCTTGGCGCAGGGTGGGGGGCACAATGGGGGTGGGGAGCTTACTGGGGTCTTTCAGCTTCTTCACATTTCTGCTGTCCTTGAAATATTCGTTCAGGCTGTTCCTGCAGGGACAAGCGCTCGTAAAGGCTGCGCCGGGGCTGGTGGGGGGGTGGGTTCTGTCTCATGTCCCCCCCACCACTGGGGCCAGCAGCAAAGGGACGTACCTGGGGGGGTTTTGGGGCCCAAATGGGATGCTGAGGGAGCAGCAGGCCCCGTCGTGGTAGGCATCCAGCAGCCCCTGCCTGTCGCTGGAATCGTAGATGGAGTAATACCTGGTGGGGGCAGGAGGGGGGGAACATGGGGGGATGTGTAAAAGAGAGTGGGGGGCAAGACCCCCCACCCACCCCGGCACCAGCACTCACTGCTGTAAGAACCGCAGCACCAAGACCTTCAGGTCATCTGAGCCGAAGTAGCTGCCCTAAAGAGAAGCGGGGGGGACAGTGTGGTTACGCCCCAGGTCACAGCCACCCCCACCAGCCTGGGATGGGGGCACAGAGCCCCCCCCCTCCACCACCATGTCCCTACCTTGCACGGAGGCAGCGTCGTGGGTGCCTCCACGTCGAAGGCGATGGGTGGAGGAAGCTCGTGGCCATCCTGGGGGGGGCGGAAGGCAGAGACAGGGATGGGGGGAGCGAATCTCTTCTGCTGTCCACCCCGGCAGGGCTCGGCATCTCCCTCCTGCCCCCCAGTGAGGCTCAGTGTCCCCACCTAGCCCCCTCCTGCCCCCCAGCAAGGCTCAGTGTCCCCCCCAGCCCCCTCCTGCCCTCCAGCTGGGCTCAGTGTCCGTCCGTCCCCTCACTCACCAGGCGCAGCAGCTTCGGGAAGCGCTCTCTGACGGAGCTGCCGAGAGGAAGCAGAGTCAGTGCGGTGGCCGGGCCGCCCACCAGGGCCAGCCCTTGCCCCCACGGCAAACACCAACCCCCTCCCCGGGACCCCCTCCCCACCCTGGCCCCCCAACTTGCCTGCCCTCGCCAGAGCCATAGGTATGAGGGCACGTGGCAGGGCCACCCCACAGCTACCTCCCCACTCCTCCCCTGATGTCGCAGCCCCCCTTTCCTGGGGGCCCAGTGCCATCCCCCCCACCCCAGGGCTGCCCCTGCCCCTGGGGGGGGTCTTGGGCTGCATCTGATGAGGAACCGAGGGCCCTGCGGGCCAGCTCAGGACTTACCTGGCTCATACTCACCTGGGTGCGGGCGCCCAGACAAGAGGGGAAAGGGGGAAAGAGGACAAATTCCCACCGGTTGTGGCACAACCGTTGGCACGACCTGACTGTTTACAGCTGCGGAGCTCCTGCATCGGGGGCGGTGGAGGGGGGTCCCCCAATCGAGCGAGCAACGAGAGGGGGTGAAGCAGGGTTTGGGGGGGGGGGTAGAGGGGTGGGCAGCCCCGGGCAGAGCCTCTTCTCCGTCGTGCCGCTCCCTCCCGGCCCCAGGAGCACATTTGGGCTCCGGGTACAGCCGCATCCAGAGCCGAGGCCGCTGCCCGCGCTGGGTGCCGGCGTCGGCGTGCCCAGGGGTGCCGCGGGGGGGCCTGCCCGGAGCGGGCTGAAGGCCTGCGCCAGGCCTGGGATAGCGAGAGCCTCCCCCGCGCCAGCCGCGGCTGAGCGGCAGCGTTTGGCCACTGCACGGCTGTGCCTGTCTTAGGTTGTTCCTCCCGTGAGGAATCTTACCCGTCTCTGGCTAGCCAGCCATCGTTGAGGGCCAAACGCGGGCGCAAGGAGGGGGGAGGCAGCTCTGCGGGGGGAGGACAAGGGCAGCAAACGTGATGCCCCGTGCCGTGTCCTGCAGGCCCCCGAAAGCCCGTGGAAGGGCGGAACGATGTCGAAAGCCCCGTCTGCGCGGCAGAGGGGTGGAAGTGGCAGGCAGGGAGCGGGGCGTTTTGGAGAAGAGGCTATGTACCCCAAGGGAGGAGAATGGGGAGGGGAGCAGCGAGGACAGGGAGGACAGAGCAGGGAAAAAGCAGGGCTCCGAGCAGCTGAAACAGATCGGTCGTCCTCCGGCAGACGGGCTATGGCCCGTCCTGGCCTTGCACCACGACCAGGGGCTGTGTGGGAACCTGGAGGCTGGAGAGGGGACGGGGGTGTCTGGGCACCGGTGAGCAGAAGGCACGGGGGGCGTGGGGGGGGGGGGCGGCCTCTCTTCGTCCTGCTGTGCTGCCCCCCGCGGAGCAGGGGCGGCCCACGGGCCCCTAGGGCCGCCCCAAGGCTAACACTGACCTGATGTAGGTAGACTGGTCCCGGAAAGCGTCGCAGAGCGGGTTTCCGTCGAGCCAAAGCTCCTCCAGTTTGAGTCCCTTCACCTTGTCAAGCTCCCGGTCCGATTTCAGCTGCAGGAGAGCAGGATGTGAGGGGCCAGGGAGCACATGGAAGGGATGGGGGGAGCCCAGGATGGCACCCACCTCATTGCGAGAGAGATCGAGGATCTTGAGGCCGGCAGCTTTCTGCGCCAGCTCGGACAGGTCGTCCAGGCGGTAGAGCTTGTTGCTGCTCAGGTTCAGGGACTGCAGCTGCAGGCACAGAGAGAGGGGGTTAGGAGAGGACAAAAACGGGGGTTAGGGGTGTCTGGTGCTGCCGGCGCAGGGAGAAGCATCCTGTCCTCACCTCGGGGATGTTGTCCTCAATGATGCGCAGCACAACCAGCATGCAGCTCCGCTGGTTCAGCACCACGTCGATGCTCTGTGACACCAAATCTGGGAGCAGGGGGGGACAGAAACAGGGGGTGAGATGTCGCCCGCCGCAGCCCCCTCCTGCCCCTCGCATCCCTGTGGTGGCGAGCAGCGCTCACCTGGGTCGACGCGGAGGCTCTTGAGATCCAAAGCACGCTGCGAACCATCGTATCTCTTGCTCATGCAGAGCTGGGACAAAGCAACAAAGATGAAACTGAGCGGGCTCTGCCTCTTCCCCTCTGGCCAGAGCCTGCAGCCACCTGCCCCACTCACCTTCAGTTGCTCAATCTCCTCTGGTTTCAGCTCGTTCTGCAAGGACTGAGGTGGAGCTGACGAGTTGATAACTATCACCACCTACGAAAAGAACCGGAGCAGACTGTGAGGCAGAGTGTGCCAACAACGAATGCGCCCACGCAGAGCAGGGAGGAACGGCCCTGCCGTGAGATGACTCCCACTGGGAGCAGCCCCTGGTCTGTCTGCCCCAGCAGCGTGGGAGGAGCCGCAGGAGGAGCCACGCACCTTGTAGTTGTCCCTATCGGTGATTTTTCGGGAGACCTGCTTAAGGGCACTGGCAGTAGTGGCATCCTCCACGTAGAACTGGGCCCGGTTGTGATCGTAGTGGAACTGAAAAGGGGATAGATTGGGGTCTGGGTGGCAGCTCCCGCAGAGCTGGAACACGGCTGACTTCCTGAGGGGGCATGTATCCCCCACCCCAGCCTGCCAGACCACCCCGATCTCCCCAAAAAGGGAAGCGAAACAAAACCCGGGTGCCTGGGCCCTTCTCACCTCGACGGGAGTGAAAGGGACGCTGCAAAGGTTCTGGATGGAGCTCAGCAGCCACGACTTATCATATTTCTTCCCGTACGGAATCTAAGAAAGAATTGGCCCAGCGTTAGGGCACAAACAGGGCTGGCAACAGCGCACGTGGCTTGACCACTTGTGGTAGAACTGCCACAGCCCTGCCCGGGCCATGCGTGTCGCAGCTGGGCAGGATGCAGCTGCCTCCTGTGTAAGCCAGAGAAGAGAAAAGAGAAGAGAAAAGAGAAGAGAAAAGAGAAGAGAAAAGAGAAGAGAAAAGAGAAGAGAAAAGAGAAGAGAAAAGAGAAACAGAAGGACAAAGGGAAGGACGAAAGGAAGGACAAAGGGAAGGACGAAAGGAAGGACAAAGGGAAGGACGAAAGGAAGGACAAAGGGAAGGACGAAAGGAAGGACAAAGGGAAGGACGAAAGGAAGGACAAAGACTGGACTAGATCAGGCTACTTCAGTTGAAAAAGACCTACAACAATCATCTGGTCCAACTGCCTGACCAATTCAGGGCTGACCAAAACTTAAATTGTGTTATTAAGGGCATTCTCCAAATGCCTCTGGAACCCTGACAGGCTTGGGGCATCAACCACCTCTCCAGGAAGCCTGTTCCATAGTCTGACTGCCCTCTCAGTAAAGAAATACTTCTTCATATCCAGTCTCAAGCTCCCCTGGCACAGCTTTGAACTGTTCCTATTGCTAGATCCCAAGTAGAAGAGCTCAGCACCTCCCTCTCCATGTCCCCTCCTCAGGAAGACGCAGAGCACGATGCGGTCGCCCTTCAGCCTCCTTCTTTCCGATCCCCTCTCAGGACCAGCTGGTTCTGCTGGGTTTGATGCCCCCCCAGGATGAGGTTTGCCGTCTCAGCTGACTCGCGTTGAGCCTGCTGCCCCCCCAGATCCCTTCCTGCAGGGCGGCTGTCCAGCTGGTTCATCCTTGTGCCCGGCATTACTCCCTCCCGGCTGCACAGTCTGGCATTTCCACTCGTTAAATGACATCTTCTTAATCGTAACCCAAAATAAATCACCATTTAGATAAAGAAAATAAAGAACCATTTAGGTTGGAAAGGACCCTTAAGACCATCGACTCCGTCGTTAACGCAGCCAACTCCACCACTAAACCAGGTCCCTCAGCCCCACGTCTACGTGTCTTTTAAACTCCTCCAGGAATGGCGACTGGACCCCTTCCCTGGGCAGCCTGTCCCAACGCTTGACAACCCTTCGGGTGAAAAAATTGCTCCTAATATCCCATCTAAATCTCCCCAGGCACAACTTGAGGCTGTTTCCACTCGTCCCGTTGCTTGGGATGAGAGATGTCCTCCGCCACCTCGCTACAGTCTCCTTCCAGGTAGTTGTAGAGAGCAATAAGATCTCCCCTCAGCCTCCTTTTCTCCAGACTAAACTCCCCCACTTCCCTCAGCCGCTCCTCATAGGATGGCAATGGGGCGACGACAGCCACGCTCTCTGTCCCCACACTGCCTGAAGACACGTATTGTCATCCCCATCGCCGTGTCATGAAAAAGCGGGTGACAACGGCCGTGATCCCCGTCCCTGCACCGCCTGCCCCACTCACAGTGATCTTGAACCAGTTCCTGCGCCCGCCGTCACGGCTGGTGCTGCTGCTCCGCTCTGGGGTGGGAAGGTCTCGTCTGACTGTGATGTGGATGTTGGCCGTGCGGTTTGGCCGTGGCCCGTAGGGCAAGCTAGAAACAGCGAGGCAAGATTAGGGGGGTGGGAGGGAAAGCCCTGGACCCTCCAGTCGTCCCCCCCAGCCCCAGGGTGGCTCTGTGGGGCTCCCCCAGCCCACAGCCGTCCGCACTCACTATCGGTTGCGGGGCCCGTCGTGGGCCTCGCTCATAGGGACGTCGCCATCATCCTCCTCCAGCCGCGCGCGGACACCGGGACCACCGCGGTTACGAGAGCGGTGGTTCATTTCGCTGTACATCTTCCCGCGGAAAGGGCCGCGACCCTTCTTCCTGCGGCCCGAGAAACCTCGACCGCCCACACGGTCATCGTGTTCTGTCCCGGGCAACACTGCTGTCAGCTCCCGCACCGGGCTGCTCCCGGCCCCGGGGTCTCTCCCACCCTGGATGCCAGCCCCATCTTCTCT